AAAAATTAAGACAGGGCAACAACAATGAAACCCAGATGCCTAGGATGAGTGTTGACTAGTCAGACCAATTGTAGGTTCCCTGTATCGATCAGTTTTGATGAATGTTATCATGAAATAGTTTTGAGGCATGTGATTAAAAATGTTTCCCAGCAATAGGTTTGTTTGCTGTCAAGATCTTTGGATTAGCGAAATGTTGATTTCAAACAAAAACATTCAATATGTACAATGTATACATGTATTATACCTAACTTGAAAAGTGGGAGGGTATATATTGATCGGAACGTCTGTCTCTCTGTACGTCCAGTTCTCGTTCAAACGAATAAGTTTGGAGACATGCTTGTGTACCTGAAGGTATGTGTGTATATATATCTAACCTAGGTGAGTGTGTGAGGGTAAGGATGTGTTTGCAATGGTATTGTCTGTGAGGGAGAGGGTGTGTGTGTGTGTGTGTGTGTGTGTGTGTGTGAGTAAGGGTGTGTGTGTGTGTTCATTATTTTTTTCTGATTCATTTCATATTTTACTTTGAAAACTAATATGTTTAATTATAGCTTGCTTATTTATGCTATTTCCACCAAAGACTTGGTCATTTTAGGGTTGGGAATGAATCAGTTTCGAAGAAACATCTGAATAACTATCTAAAAACTGGAGCATTATTAAAGGATGTGTAGTATTTGGTGTACCCTGATGGGATGTCTTTTCAAGACTAGTAAAGGTAGGACATATTCAATTTCAAACTTGACCAGCTTAGAAATATTTCCTTGCACAATCATCTAAGAATAACATATCAGATGCAGTTTTCCCTACATCCTGACGCCCAATAGCTGCAAAGTTTCTCAGCGGCGTAAATTTTTACACGAATGCAACCTATTTAACACCTGCTCTTTAGTTAGTTACATGTAAGGAAGTACATTTTTAATAGCAGCTCAAACAAAAATTTAGCAGTCTCCATTCTCACTGCTCAATGGCCCCGAGTGCCGAGCATAGGAGAAAATTTGTAGTTGTCCACCGGCACCTATATATGAGTGAAAAATTCTCGAGAGGGAACTGTAACTCGACAGAATCAATCAATCACTATCCCTTCTGTTTTCAAAAGTTATGCTTCTAGACTTTGAAAAATGGTAATAAATCATCATTGCTGCATTTATTTTGCTGTGTTTATAGAGAATAAATTGATTTTTGGTCCATCTTTTTATATTGATATTTTGCAAATTAAGTTTGAGGTGCAAGATATTGACCTATTTTTATGAAATTTCTGTGCCATTTTCACTCATTTAACTTTAGCACTGAAAAACATGTCAACAGGAACACTAGTGTCACTCTACACATCTTCTCTTTAAGTATTTTTATTGAGAGATTCCGACAAACTTATTTTGAATCTTAGATCTCCAAGGATTTTTCTCAAACTTAAGAAATCTAGATGCTAAAATTAATAACACGATGTTATCTAATTATTTATTTCATTTCAGGATCCAAAGGGGAAAAGAAAGCAAAATCAAAACCAAAACTCACCAGAAATGTAAATATAATCTTACATTAATTTAAGAAACATAAGAGAACTTATAGTCTTTATTTGCAAATAAGGAGTTCATAAAATACACCCCCCCCAACCCCCCGTTTTGGTAGAATGTAAAATAACAATTATTGCGTAAGATTCTTTTTTAATTAATCACATTATCTTAACGAAATATATGGAGTTAACGAACAGTATTTAAGTTCAAAAGGTCCATTCAAAGAATACAAAATAGCAGCAGAGCAAACGTAGACCTACAACATATAAAAATTGGGATCAGGTGCCCTAGAGAAGTGAACACCACCTTCCGATCGGTAACATCAGCTGTGTGCTCCTGTATATGATTGGGTAATAACGTAAAATCAGTAGTAGATAATTAATTGTGTAAATAATAGTCCAACAATTAGTATGATCAACGTTCATCAGCATTTAACTGAGTGATGGATAAAAATCATTGTAATTGCTGATAAGATCATCATGTCAACAATAGAACTTTCGAAATGATGACTTTGAATGAGACTATTTATATCTTTGTTTTATCAACTCGTTTGTCAATAACTTACCTCGATGTAGAAATTGTACGTACGTTAAAGCATGCACTGGAATATCGATCGAATCATCAAAAGATACAAACACCATGTGGAGGTGATGATGGTATATTGCTACGTAAGTAATGAATGTTGATGAATGAGAATTTGAAGAAGATTTATCAGACTATATTCACATCCACTGAATATTTTCTTCTTTATTTCTTAAGAAAATTCATTGCCTTGAATCAGTGCATGAACAGCATAAGGCATGTCACCTGTACAGATTCCTTGATCATTGGCTTTTCCATCAATAAAATGTACTAAGACGAATGTATCAATAATACGAGAATTAATCTATATAATCCTACTTTTAATGATTATTAAAAAGATTAGAATATAAACAATAAAATATCTGTCTTTGGTTGTTAGTACTGGAACGAATGATGTCGCAGTTAAGGATACACCAAAGGTTTCCAAAGGGCAAAATTTAATTTGCTTGTAATTCTTTCATTAACAAAGATAACATATTAAAAGTATGTATCATTTGAAAGCTTGTTAAATTTACTATTTAATGATCTTTATGTAAATTTTCATTTTCATCTTATTAAAAAATTATTAATATTTTAATGTAAATATTAGTGCATATATATTTTATAAATCAACTTTTTTGTATTCCACCTCTCAAAGTCAAAATTTTGCCTCAATGTAGATGAAAGATTGAACTTTAAAACCGTATCTCAGGTTTTTGATAAATCTTCTTATTCAAAAGTTACATCCATGTGTCTGTCAATGTTACCAATTTATTAGCCTAATTCTACATTTCCCCCAATAATTCGAGAACTGAGTTTTCGGAGAATTTGGTCAATAAATAAGGGAGCTGAATCCTTTGAAATAATACTACCAACTGTCTGATCTTACTTTACTGTAGAGGGCAAAAACCCATTACACAACAAAGTCTGCCAAAACTGGAAATATATGACACCTTGGAGATTAAGCTTTGGATACCTGTCACTTATCCATATTTCCTATGCATATTAATAGGAATGGGAGGTTCTATTCTTTATTTGGGTGCTTTTAATTGAGTAAAATAGGTTCAATTCTGAATCAGAAAGATTTCCCGGCAAAATGGCAAGAGCTAAGCTCCACCTCCTATTTCATGGTCATTAGTGACCTGTTAGATCTCCTTCCCTAGATCTAGAGTCCCTGTAGTTTAATTACTCATAACCTCTGTGTGGCTAGTGAAGAATTCCCCAAGTGGTCACAGTGATTTATTGCTCCTTTCAGAAGCAGGCAGTTATAGACCAAATTAGAAGCTTCAATAACGGCACATTCACATGTGTTAGTGTTTATGTTTGATTATTGTTAAATAATTAGAAAACCATTTAATAATCAGCAGTAATTTTTCATGCATTATAAAGCAGTGATTAGCATTATTTTCTTATCCAAAAATCTCAAAATCGACAAAAATCTTGAAAAAAGCCTTTGGTATATCCTTAATGCAGAAAATCAAAGTACTCAGAAGTACAGAGAGCTGGGCTCATTTCCAGAGTAGAATGGATTTCTTACACGAATCACGTTTATATTCTGATGAAAAAATATTTTAAAACTATCAATATAAATGATAAGACACTGACAGTGAGTTTTTCAATCCTAATACCACGGTCCGATTTTGTCAGAATCAGAATTAATCTGGTACCGCAACTGAATGTAAACAAACAGGCCAGTCTGGTTCCCTCTCCTGCTTTACCTCGTATGTGTAGAGAACTACGGTAACTCTGATTATCAAAAATCCTTACGCTAATGAACTATGTTCTTTGACTTATGAAGTTTTCAAAGTCATTACTACTAATGTTTATTATATATAGATAAAACTTTGTTTTTGTTGCTTTATTTAGCGTTTGTATTATCTGAAAAGCGGTTGAGAGTAAGAACTATATTTTTGCACGTATTTTTAAAATGGCGACTATGGGGTCAACATCTTGCCTTGAACAGGATCCCATAAGCTGGCAATTGCTCTTTGAGCAATAAGCCCGGCTAAAAATTACATAACCCGCTTACGCAGGTAAAGTATTTATTTCTGCATCATGCGACATTCATTCCAGTACTAACAACCAAAAAGCATTTTATTGTTAAATTGTATCTTTTATTTCAAGCTCATTGGAATACATCTTGTCGAGATATGAATTGAAATAATTATATTTAATGCATGTTTCAATGTCGATATATCGGAATGTCAATTAAGTTTTCTAATCAAGTTGTTCTCCTAGTTGATGTCAACATTAACTATCGTCTTTTTATGCAGAAACATTTAGCAACATCAATTAAAGTAAACGTCAAGCATATCTTGATGAGGGGAAGTGGGTTCAAAGACATTGATATTTCGTTCGTGAAAATATATTGGTATTTTATTATATATGAAAGCTTTTCTGACTGACGTTTTTCATACCAATTGTTAGTCCATTATTTATACACTGAATTGACGACGGAATTTTTCCGTTATTTCCTGATTATGACAACGAGCACACGGCGGGTGTGACCGGTCGGCAGGGGATGCTCACTCCACCATGGCACCTGATCCCACCTGATCTGATGTTTCGGAGGTCCGTGTTAGCTCTGCTCTTATTTGTATATTGTTTAATGGACATTGAGATTGAATACTGTTCGTTATTTCCATATCCTTCTTCTACAAAATGGAAACAAAATATTAGTTTAAATCATGACTCCCATTTATTATGATCGGGCTACAAAATTTTACTGAGGAACACATAGGAAAAGTCTTTTAAAGATAATCTTCTCAAGAACAACTTGGTCAAAATTAAAGTATTTTCATTACATAATATAATTGATCAAAGCATGACTTTCTGGTATATGCCTAGGATCTAAATAGTAAATGAGATTTTCACAAATAAATACATGTATACATATTTTTTAAAATCTTCTCAAAACACAACAAGGTCAAATTTTGAATAAAACAATCATATTTTACAGCAAGAAATTTTCATATTTCTTTGGAATGTCGATGCTCTTCGTGCTGTTCTACTGACTGTGAGTACATTTTCTGGTAATTGCAGTATACTTTCATTGCTTGTTTTATATTTGTAAAACAAGTTGTATGTCATACAATTTAGTTACTAGTTGGCCCTATTGTCTTTAGTCAGTAAAACATCCAACTATGAACAAAAAAATGCCGATTTCTTTGAAAATGCGATTTTCAAGTTTTAAAAAGTTATTCAGAGTTTTCAGGGTCCACATCTTATATTCAATACTTTAGATTATGCTGTAACACTGTGCATTTGTAGTTTCTATTTACAGAATTTAATATTTTTGTAAGGAGTAAATCTAGGGCTTCCCAGCGCATTTGCTTGATACAGCAATGTATTTTTGATATAATTGTTTATGAAATGAATAAATCCATGACAGGAAGGTTATAATAAACTCGCTTTGTTTTACTTGTATATTAAAAGTATATAATTCTGAAATAAGATGTTTAAATATTTCTTCTTTAGAAAGTAAACTTTGAGAATATATTGGATCTTTCGACAGAGAAGGAAAACTAAATTCTTTCAAAATACACTAAGTCTTAGAGTAATGAACCTTACAATTAAATAATTAAAGACGGTATTGTTTCAAACCTTGTCCGAAGGAACCAAAACATATTGTTCATGTTCTGGTACTCTTTTTTATTCTTTCATTGCTTTTGATGGATATGTTAGACTTTTGCATTTTGCTTTTCATATTGTTTTTCTAAAACACTAAATCCTTTCTGACAACTGTTTAGTTTTAGCCGACTCCCGATAATTATGACAATTTAAGGTTCTCATTTAAAACTTATTTTAGCCGTGATGTAAAATTTTGTGCACATTTGCGAACTATTTTCAATAGCTTTTCAAAATGTTGAAATCGTTGAAGAGTTTCATATCGTTTTTGTCGATGTTTTGATAGAGGGTATATTCTGTTTTGATTTTTAGCAAATTAATAGTATAGTGAATTGGAATTTTAAGTATTAACATGCATGAAATCGCTTGACAATGTACATGTATGTGTTTCTACATGTAGCTGGCGATAAAAGTACTGTTTATTTGAAACAAATAAAAGAATGTCTATAAAATAAACATGTGCATTGTTTTAATAAAATTATTTAACAGTTCCAAAACTGAATTTTTGAATTATAAGAAAAAATGCTTATTAAAAAGAAAAAATGCGAGAATTTCATGGAAATATTATTCAAATTTTAAAATCATAAAATATCTTGGGGTCTGGACTGTTAGTTTTAATTACTGGTACAGTGTATATGGGATATTGTTTTAAATCATAATCATACAAACTCTACCTGTTAAAAATCAATGGCCAAAAGGAAAAAATTAAATATGTACTAATTTCGTATCAGAGAACATACTCGAGCAATTAAAGCTCTTTCAATACTTTGATTTGTCCATATTTAGCACAATGTTTGACATAACTTTTGACAAAATCATACTGGAAATAAAGTTTTGCTGCCTATTGAAAAGTCAGGACTCTCGATAATTATGACAATTTAAGGTCCTCATTTAAAACTCATGCTAACATCATTAATAATTTGAAAGAGGAACAATTGCACCTAAAGGATTTTATTTCAGTTGTTCAATATAAATGAGATAATAATGGTGAATTTAGGCAATAAAAGAAAAAAATCTTCCTTTTTGGTAGAAGTGTTTGAATGAATTATGTTTTTTTTAATTTAAGATACAAATTAGAATTATAGGTCTGCAAATAAATGAGAAGCAGTTGGGATTCCTATAAATTGCCGGAAAACTCGATCTTTAAAAAATACGGAGATGTATTTATTCAAAATATACACCGTAAATCACACTACAAAAATTCAAGAAATAATCTTCAATTACCATAAAAAGATAAGAATATCAAACCCTACTAAAACTGTTATCCAATGTAACATGCTATACCCCAGTAACATTTCTGAGGTGTTGAATAAAGATTTTGTGAAACTAAATAAAACTTATGTTATCTTCCAGGTTTTGAATATAATAGTTATTGCCATTGTTTGGACCTCAAAGCCTAGTATCGATCAATATAAAGAAACATTACAAAATGTCCAGACAGCCTTCAACAAACTCGGAATGCAACTTTCCCCTTTCCCTGTAAATGATGACAAGATAGCAGCTACCGTTTTAGTCGTCATAGAATGTCTCACGATTGGATTTAACATTATGCACTTACTGTTGTTATTCTGGATGCTCAACGATAAAACTGTTGCAAGTTGGAAAATCAAAGCTCTATTTTCGACAGTAAGATCAATCGTTTGAAGAATTTTACTATTATATTAATAATGCCAATTCATTGAAATTTACTGTATATTCTTCTATTTCTTGACTACTTTTTGTGTGGAAATGATATTCAACGTTCAGTGTTAAGAAACAAGTATGAAAAAAATCTTATGGTGACAATTAATTAATCATTCGGTTTCTTAATTATATGCTGTCTTATTTATTAGTTTCATCAAAAGGTTATTTAGAATGTACAGTGGCATAGTAATGCCATCCATATAATTTTTTGTCAACATAAGATATCATGTCAAGTCTAGATAACTATCTCGTTAAGTGATGATAACTTTCTGGTTTGTCGACAAACATCGACTTTTATTTTGTACAGTCAAGATAAGCTATCGTATTTTTGCAAAAGCTATCTCGACAAAAAGAGATAATTTATCTTGTATCGCGACAATAAGTTATCTCGTCATTTCAAGATAGCTTTTACAACAAAATGTAATAGCTTATCTCGACTTGGCAAGATATATTGTCGGTGTTTGTCGACAAACCAGAAAGTTATCATCACTTGACGAGATAATTATCTTGACTTGACATGATATGCTATGTTGACAAAAAGTTATGTGGATGACATATATATATGCCACCATAAAAATGCGTTTACCTAATTGCTCATTAACTGTTCATAAAAATCATTTATTATCAATGTTCTGCGTGGATGCAAAAAACCTACTTTGATGGATCATTTGTTTAGATTGGATTCATGCACTCCGGTATACTTATTGCGAGAGTAATCTGCGTGGACAGATTGCGACCACAAGAATTTAATGAGGTTAGTTGCAGCGATATGAGATAAAAGTTCTAATCATAATAAATTAGAAATGCCTTCTTTACGCAAGTACTTGATGTCTTGAAATAGCTCTTAGAGACCAGGATCTCTAGAATAATATCCTAAGAGTTCGGTATATATCAAAGATTTTACATAGATTTCAATACCATAAAAACGAGTAAATTTATTTTGTCAGTGATGCTTTTTGCAAAATCATGCAATAATTAATTTTTCGACTAATTAGGAATAGACATTAATATTTCTCATGAAAAGGCGGTTAAAGGAATATATCATCCTCTAGAAATTATATAATTATTCAAATTTTGAGTACATGATTTTATTTCCTATATTATTTAAATGGTCAGCAAATTTCTTAACACTTAAGGGTTCTTAACGCAAACAAAAATTTGATGCATGGATTTGTATATTTTTTGACTCATTTTGATTTAAAATGACATATAAATAATTAATCCGAAATCGTAGGTTTTCCTTGGTGCTTAGATTTGAGAATTAGTTTTGCTTTCTATAAAATTCAAAACAAAATTTTGCGCAATTTTTTAACCTTATGACAAAATCTTATAAAATTCTCCCACTATACTTAGTAAGCATTATCCAGGTTATCAATTTAAATGTAAATCTCTGAGAAATATTGCCGATTTCTGAAAAAGTTTGTATTATTTATCCTTAAAGCTGGCCTATTTATACTACATACGCTGTGTTATACGTAATCATTTACTCAAATATTTATATATAAATAATGACGGAGAATTCTATAAACTGTTTTTTATTAATGAATAAAATATTTCTATTCATCGAAAATTAAAACTTCCTCTCTTATAAAACCACGGATACTAAAGTAGAGCAGCGTCTGTTGCCAGTTAGGTAGACTTAATACAATGAGAGCCAGTGAACAATACAAAACCATTTATCTTTAAGCTGGACGAAACGGCACTGCTTAAAAGTCTCCATGATGTCTATAAGGATGATTCCTTTCCATCGCCTGGAAATGCGGAGTCAGACACTTGGAATGAAATTTTTATGGATGTGAGGAGCATTTCTATATCTCTTTCTCTCTTTCTTTTATGAATCATTTTATTAAGCTTTCCAATCTAGCTAGTTTACAAGAATTCAAACTATTTCTCACAAGACCCTCTTTGATATGATTTTTTTTGTATCGAAGTTCCGATGCTGTGCTGTAAATGGAGTGACATCTACAACAAACAACTTTGATTTGACCCCATGGTGTACAGTTTCCGGATCTTGTCAGCAAGGGAACTCTGAGATACCAAAATCTTGTTGTAAGGATGTTGATAAATCAACTTATACATCGGCTCCCACTGAGTGCCATGGATTTGTTTACAGTGGTTATTACAACGAAAAGGTATTTACTTTATACTTTATAAAAAATATTGAAAGTGGACTAAAATTATGGTTCCTTCAAAATTAAGAATCTAAATCGTAAAATCGCGATATGGAGGTGAAAGATAACAGCAGAATATTGCTACATAAATGAAGGATTATGTGTAGCATTCTTCCACTGTCAATAAATCAACGAAAAACATCGAATACCGGCAATTACAGAGGTGTGCATGCCTCCTTTTTAAATAGAGTTTTGGGGGAAATCTATTTTGTTATTATCTTTTTCTTATTAAAGGGCTGTGCAGCTGTATGGCTAGATGCAGTTAAAGACTATACCGACGAGAAGAAAATGGTGTTTCTCTGTGGACTTGTAGCCGCCGTGTCACATGTAAGTTCAGGATAATAAATGTTAAACAGCTTGTGTATGCAAATAGATACAGCATGTGTGACATTGGATTTTTTTTCACAAAATACTAATAAAGGGACATAGCAATATTCAAAGAGGCACGGGTGCTGAAATCTGATTAGCCAAAAAGAGGAAAAAATTTAAGACCTATACACAACTAGTATATTTAAGGGAGAACTCTATTAGATGTGCTGAAATCTAATTGACAACGATGGTCATTATGGATAAATTCTTTAGTTTTTTAGCAAAAGATAAAGCAATTAGGAGTATGTGAGATAAATCAAACCTCTACATTATAGAACCATTGAAAACGAAAAAAAAAAACATACATGCATGTTTACTGATTTCTATTTTATTAATATTTACGAAGCCTGGACTTCAAGCGTCTTCAATAAAAATCGACACTAACTGTGAATTATATAATGCTTTTGATGTTTGTTTGTTGTTTAATGTCCCTCCTTGAGAAAATTCTACTCCTATGAGGAAGCAACCACCTGGTACCCATTTATACCTATCCCTTGCACTCAAACACCCAGGAACTACGGTCTCATTCCAAATAACGGTCTCCACGTCCAGAGCATAAACACGGAACCTTGAAAATTTAAGAGCTGGGATCAGGTGCCTGAGGGGAGTAAATAAATCCTGTTGACTGCTCAAATGGCCGTTTACAATTTCAAATACAACAAATTGTCTGTACTTGATTCAGTATGATTTGTTATATAGCCTCCCGTTTATTAAGCCAAATACACTGTTCAAACGCTTTTTGGAGTTAAATAAGGAATGCTTAGTCCATACAAGAATGCTCGTTATTGTAACGATTAAAATATTATCGTTGCTTAAACATGGTCTACGAATCGGAACAATATGAGTTTGATGTTTAAAGTATTATGTAATTTAATACAATTATTTTCCAGGTAATGAAATTAATCTGAGGCTGATAAAGATTTATTATTCATTTTTAGGCTGCATCACTGATATTCTCCCTGTGTTTAGTTCTTTCATTATTGGTAATGAATAATATTCAAGTTAAAGAGAACAGAGTACAAAACGAAGAAGAGAAGAGAAAAGGCATGGAAATGACAGAAGAAGGAGGTGGATGGAAATAAGAAAAAAAGAAACAAGATAATCATGTTCTTTGATTTGCTGATATTTGATAATGGATATTTGTAGAGATTGTGGTTATTACCTTTTAATCAAAATTGATATCTTGTTAAATTATAAATTTGTCAATATTTCATATATCAGTATGACTCGATATTTTGGATTTCAATATATTGAAACTTGTATATTAAATTGAAATTATTTGTGATGAATGAGAGAAAAAGTTCCAAGCTAGATAAAGAATAAAAAAAATAATTTCACAAATACGATGGATTCTGTTATAGATTACGTCAGTCAAAATATGAAAAAGAAGACCTTGACAGGTTGTCAGAATGGATTAAAACTATCAGATATATTGAAAAGGACAAGGAACATCCAATTTCTGATTCCTCGTCACCTGAATATAGACTCGGAACTGTGATTATGGATATTGCATATCATAGGCTTTTTAAACCCGCACGTTTCAGGGAAGAAAATGCAGCTTAAACCTCAATATGCCAATAAAGGAATCGACGCAATTAATATAAGTAATATTCTTAATCACAAAAGGGTCCAGACTTGTATTCCACCATATTTCAAGTTAAAGGCTACACTTTGTATTTCCTACAAATATACATCGACCATTGCTTCCAAACTTTTCAATTACAAAAACACTTTCCATGGCCTGGATACCGACTATCTGAAACATAATCCTCCTTTGTGTTCATGTTCTTCTTCGCCCTATAACTAAAGTCCTGCTGGGCACGTTATTACAGGTGACGTAAATATAGTTCGTTATGAGGACCTTGAATAACTTATTTTAATAGGTCCTAAATATAGAGAACCCCGATCCTTCAACTGGCGTCGGAATTTCATAAATATTATGGATTCTGTTGAAAATTACGCCAGACGATGGGCCAGATATGAAAAAGAAGACGTTGACAAATTCTCAGAATGTATTAAATGTATCAGATCCATGTTAAAGTCACGTATTAAAAGATTGAGGGGCAATATGAAAACCATCTATCCTTCTGTGTTCAATAAACCAGTAGTGAAAAAAGAATTAGATAGATTACACGATCAGTACGTACTTGTTTCTGCCGATAAAGCAGGTAACAACATTGTCTTCGTTTGTAAGGCTCATTATATAAATTACATTCTAGAAGAACTTGGATTTTATTCCACAAGTGGTAATCCTACTTATACTCATATTTCCCTTTCCAAGGAAGAAATTTTTCAAAATCAATTGTAAGTTTTGAAAACTTTTAATATTCCACAGAGACAAAATGAATTTGAACTACCTTATATATATTGGATTCCGAAACTTCATAAGAATCCTTACAAACAGATATACATTGCAGGTTCCGGTAAATGTTCAACCAAGCCTCTTTCGTTACTCCTCACTAAGATATTGACAGTAGTGAAGGAACAACTTCAAGGGCACTGGGCAACTATATATTCAAGAAGTGGTGTGAATCAGATGTGCATACTAAAAATTTCTAAAAAACTTTTGGACAATTTGAAATCACAAGACTTTACAAACATCAACAACTAAAAAACTTAGGACTTCTCAACTTTATATACAATAATTTCCCACGACAAATTAAAATCCAGGCTTTTTAATATCATTGACAGCTGCTTCTTCAATAAAAATGGGACTCGTAAATTTACTTACCTCGTCATGGGTCATTTGCAAAATTATTTTGTTAAAACAGATTCTGATGGCACACATAAGTACTCTAAAGTTGACATGAAGAATATGCTTGAGTTTCTGATTGACAATATCTATGTGGTTTTGGGGGACCAGGTATTCCAACAATCTATTGGAATTCCCATGGGTACGAATTGCGCTCCGTTATAAGTATACTTATTTTTATATTCAAATGAAGCAGAATTTGTGCAAAATCTTATGCGTGAAAGAAGAAAACACTTGCTGTGGCATTCAACTCGACATTTAGATATATCGACGACGTATTGTCAATTGATAATGGTAATTTCCATTCCTACGTCGATACGATGTATCCTGGCAAGCTTGAGATAAAAGATACCACAGAGTCCGACAATGTTTCATACTTGTATATTTTACTGGATAAAGACACTAATGGTACTCTAACAACCAAGCTATATGATAAACCTGATGACCTTAACTTTTATATCGTCAACTTCCCTTACTTATGTAGCAATATACCTCCATCACCTGCATACTGATTGCGCCCATGGGAAAAGGGCCCTTATGGCAATTTTTATACATTTTGAGTTTTTCACGGATTTTGATAGAGTAAGGTTAGAAATTGTCAAATATGAATTTTTATGGTCCCACGTCTACTCTAAGTAGGTTTTTTCTTCATTTTAATCTAAGATACTTTATTAGGTTCATAATGACGTAATATTTTTCAACAACGTCAAACGTTTTTAGAGTGAACGTAAAATGATTTTCTTTTGCAATTTACTACGGTAATTAATAGTTGTATAATATTTAATATTTACCCATGCACATTATTTTAATCTCATTGTCTGTTTTAATTATCAATAATTATTTAAAAGTTATATATAATATATTATAGATTCATCAGTGTAGAATAGTGAGTGACTGCTTGTTTTACATTTCACTTTTCTCTGACAGGAGACCTGAACAGCGGGCGACATCCATTCATTTCTTTAAACAATTATTTTCTCAAACAAAATATTTACTACATGCAAGAGTCATTTGATAAGCCTGCATAATTCATTATTCTAATTTAAACATTGCTCTCGATAGGTCAATATATGTAACTTTTTTGCCTGAATTCAGCATAAAACGATGTATCTCCAGTTACCATACATGTGAAAATAAATTTTAAAAAAATATATCTGGAACAACAATACGCTACCTAAATGCTACTGCGAAGTGAAAATTTATTTGATCGTTCTTTTTTCTAAATTTTATATAAAGACAGAAAAACTGTGAAGTGTGATATCATGTTTTTTACGATATACAATAGACAGTGAATACAAAGGAATTTCGGTTGAATCACTGCATCTTAAGGTTGTCTGTCTGCATAGGGTTAAAAATGACACTGCCGTTTGAAAAATATAAAGGATACACGAAATATTTTTCAGTCTAGTAGTAAAAATAGTTTAATCTTTACCAATCAAAAAGCTGGAAATTTTATAAGCAAATGAATGATTTATAATCCGCATACATTTACACAATAGATAGACACAGAATTAATATTGGTAGGATTATGTGTGTGTTGCTGAGGAAGGGGGGGGTAAAAATCTAAATGACAGAAACTTACAATTTTTGTGAACACAAGTTAAAATAAATATATTTTTTTAACTTCCCAAGTTTTAGGTGCACAATGGGTGTCTCTCCTACACCCAATACCATTAACCCTACAACTTGTAAATTCACTTTTTTATTTAGGTTTGAAATAATACTGCATACATACAATGAAGCGCATTGAAGTGGTAAAATTTTCCATTTGGGTGAAACGTTCTGAGTCATGCTTTGACCGTCAATTATAACATAACGACACTCCCATTTCTTTAGAAACGAGAAAGAAATATTCGTCGTAATGTTTTAGGGCACCCCACTTTCCGCGACAAGCAACTTGAGTTACACTAAATTGAAGATGTTTAAATAAGAAAAAACTATATAGAGAGTCCCCGCTTTTGTAAAACACGCATTGCAACGAATTTGTACATAAATATTATTTTATTATGTTTATTGGAGTTAGCATAACACATGAATCGGTCGAACACGTGCTTACTCGGTGTTTATGCAGACCGTCAATTTGATTGGCTTCTATATTTATGGAATACCTACAGGTATTTGACTGAATCATTTGACCGATTTTTCCTTTCTTAAGAAATGGGCGTGTCTTAAGATAGCTCAAAACGTTCCATCTAAACGGAAAATTTTACCACTTCAATGCGCTTCATTGTATTACCGGGTATTCTTCATTTTATATTTGTACCTTTAATTCTGAACATTGCCATTTTTAAAAAAGCACAGCGATCATGAGCACTGCGAACCCGGAACTGAATTGCTATGAATTCAGTTTTGTTTATCATGTACATAATGACACCCTAGATTAACAAAATCTTGTTTTTAGCTGGGCTTATTGCTCAAAGAGCAATTGCCGGCTTATGTCATCCTGTTCAAGACAGGAATTCAACCCCATAGTCGCCATTTTAAAGTTACGTGTAAAAATATTGTTCTTACTCTCAACAGCTTTTGAGATATTTACAAACCTTAAATAAAGCAACAAAAATAAAACGAAGTTTTATCTAAATAAATGAATATTAAATAGTAGTAATGACTTTGAAAAATTCAGTCTTACGCCAAAGAACAGAGTTTATTAGCGTAAGAATTTCTGATAATCAGTGTTATCGTAGTTCTCTACACTAACGAGGAAAAGCAGGAGAGGGAACCAAACTGGCATGTTTGTTTACGTTCAGTTGTGGTACCAGATTAATTCTGACAAAATCGGACCTTGGTATTAGGATCGAAAACTCACTGTCAGTGTCTTATCATTTATGTTGATAGTTTTGAAGAATTTTTCATTTAATCTGATATTCTTGTTTTTTTTTATCTGTTAATACAATATAATCGTACGACTCATGTAAGAAATTCATTTTCCTCTGTAAATGAGCCCGGGTCTCTGTACTTCTGAATACTTTGATTTTTTTTTAATTGGATGGTTTTAGAAGCATACCAATAGAATTAAATTAAAGAAATCATTTACATAATTTTTGAAAAAGAATTTTGAACAAAATTGTTTCGTTGTTTTTTTCTCATTAATTTCAAAAAATATATCCAGTAGACAAATCAATAACTTTATCCTGTAATTTTTTTAATCATGCAATTTAATGTATAGATTTTGTAGGGGTAGGGGTGGGTGAAAAATTAATAACATGTAATTGTCCATACCTAAATATAAAGTCAGTTACTGTTTTGTATGATATATTTTTCCTGACAATTGTCTGTGAACTGGCTGAGTTTTGAAATGTCAGATTTTTGTAGAGATGTAAGCATCTTAAAAAAATTCATCATATTATTTTATAACTTAATTTTAAAAAATTCC